ACTCGTCTGGTATTGTGTCAAAACACCCGGACCCATTGTAAAAACCTGCCCCCCCCCCCGGTTAAGTCCTAGTGATATTTTATTTTTGAATTCTTTAATTATATTTATATTTGAACGCTTGAATAATGATATTTCTTTTTGTACGCTTTAATAATGGCATTGTTAGTGTTTCTTTTTGCAAGCTTCCGTGGAATAATACAAAATCTCACTTCCATTTTGTGTGCCCTTCCTTCATTGCACCAAGACTAGAAGAATAAATTCACAAAACTCTGGGCCTAAAATGTTAGTTATAAAATATTGATTCAAATAAAATTCAATGTAGTAGGTTTTATAATTTTTTTTAAATCGCTCTCGCTCACTCACTCTCCCTCTTTCTCTCTCTCTCTCTCTCTCTTCCTCTCTCTCCCTAGCAACGGGCGCACATCTTTACACACCAACAACTCCAGAGGAGCTCTCATTACTATCTCAGTTTGGACTGAAAGAAATGGTGTGGATGGGACTTGATGATATCAGAGACGAAGACACGTTCAGATGGGCGGACAATGACGCGACACTCACCCGTGATTTAAGAGCACAGCTATTTAAGGCTGGTAAGGGAACAATCATTTCAGTGAATGTCATATTTGATATTTGGATAAATTCTTGATGTCATTTGGTTACTAAAACTTTAAAAAAAAATATATATTTCTGCTTGTGTCCTTTTCTCCCTGATATTTTCATAGTGCTTGGACATTCAACTAATTTAAAAAAAAAGAAATTACAAAACTTACGCATAAATACTTTGTAGAAAAGCTATAAAAACATAAAAACGTGCAAAGTTTAAATTATTTTTTTTTCTTCTTTCTCCAAGGTGAACCAGACAATAAGACACCAGGTGAAGATTGTGTCATCTTGAGCCCTGACGACAAACTTTTGATGGACACCAAATGTGATGAGCAGTTAAGATACTTCTGTGAATTAACCCCCATTGTTGAACTGACGTAAAGCTTTGAACCATTATTTCCATACAGAACGTATCTATATCAATAAAAAGATGACGACAATTTAAGACATCGAAATTCAGCTTATAGAATTCGATTTAGGATTCAGATCAGTAGTAATAAAAATTGCATATTTAAAAATAAGGTGGATTTTTTATGATTCTGCATGAGGTTGGAATTTCGGAAAAAGTAAGATTGCAATTTTAATGTAGGTAGTTTTAGTAAAATGGTAGAAAAAAGTCAAGGAAAATGTTTAGATTTAAAGTAGAGAAAATATTTCATTCAACTCATCATTTAGAAAACTGAACATTTTATGCTTTCTATAAATGGAGCAAATGTGCATTGCCGGCAGTTTGGCTCCCTGTTATGGGATAGCATGTTAAAGTAGGACCTTAGTTGGGCCATTTTGAAAAACTATGATTTCATGCTGTCTACCCAATGGCCATACACTTGTAGCCTTAAGTGATACGCAAACCATTTATGTTTTGAGGGAATGTAACTGTTTGGAAATTGTTGTGCCCCGCCAGTCCCGGCTTCCACCAGATTGTCTGAATGTTCATTGCCTCTGAAGTTCCTATAACTCGAGACCCTTTGCGTCGCACGCTTCCTCACTTCTCCTCGATGTTGCCCACGTCATTCTATGCCGTATAAAAATGCGTAAAAACACAAGTTTACTTATAATTAAGTATTTACAATTATAAAGGTAATTTTTGTCATGTTTGTAAAGACAACAAACTCTTATACAAGATAACAGAACAAAAAAAAAAGGAATATAAGACAACTTCAAATGAACGATAGCATTTAAAGTATCGACAGTGAAGTCCAAAAGTTACTAAACCGGGAAGTAGAGGTCAGAATATGAATTCTGTTTTGTTCAACACCATTAGATATATTTATATTCGGTGGTTTGTTCTTGTGAAAAGAAGTTTTTAAAAATAAGTAAGCTATTACTAAAATAAGTACTTTATCAATATATTAAAAAAAAAATGAAACTTCTATCATTAGAAAAGTATATCTTTATATATATATATATAAATTTAGTGAATGTCTCTAAATCATTTGGTAAACTCGTCTGATGGGGGGAGGAGGGTGAACATTTAAAATATTGACCCGTGACAGGTTGGACTAAAGACTTTTAAATTCAGGTACTTCGTTTTTAAATGAAGTATTCACTTGTAAAGAAAATAATGCACCGTTATTCCCACATAGAACTGGATTTAACTTTATCGGAGTCGAAACACAATTTTGTACTTTTCTCTAACGCTACAATTCTTAGATTAAATAATTTTCCCCCGTGTCTTGATAAATGACAATCATACGCTCAAAGTGGAAGTATTACCAATGTTATCTCACCCATTAACATGTTCTCACAATGTTAGTGAATGTTGATGGTCAATATTGTTTTGGAAAGTAAATATACAAATATAGACAACAAATAAAATGTCATAGCTCTATTTCCCGAGTGTATTATTTGACTTTCGTCGTTTCCATCACGTCTTGCAGCTTTATATTATAACGTTCCTTGAATAGCCATGCCATAGCTTAATTAAGTTATTTGATATGACAATGTTATTTGTGTGTGTGTACATTATGAATATCATTAACTAGGACAATTTAACAGATACATTCAAGTCAATCGACGTTTATAGGAAACAAAGAAGGTGAAATTAAAATAGAATTCAAATTGTGAGTTACTATGAGTTTTTTTAAGTACTTCGTTCGAAGTCATGCAATATGTTATTTTATCGTCATTTATTTTGTATACAAATGATAAGAGAGTATTTTGCCAAATTCTATAAAGTACGGTGGGAGGGCCAAACAAACACAGATTCTTTTTTTTAAAACCAATTTAAAAAGATTAAAGAAAATGTTTATAACTTTGTTTCTTATATCATGACACCATTGTCCCATTTTGTCATAAGACTTATCAGAGATACAAGACAAGAAACTTTACAACTATTCCCCCTGTTTGTGTAGAATAATATTTTTTACCTTTCTAGTATTAAATTGACTATTGTTGGTATCAATAGCTTTCGTATCGTTGTTTATTTTAACTTGGTTTTCAATCCTTTGTTACGCATTGTTCATCTTACGAGACACATTATTAAAAGAAGACCAATTAAATCTGTATGACCTTATAATGGTATGAAAGAGTATATTTTACGAGCCCATTTAATAATTTAAAAAGATTTTAAAAAAATACGAACCTATTAGTTAATATTAGATACTATGAGTCAATAGCACCGACCTATCTCTGTTGTACATATCAGCATCGAATGGAAAAAATCACTATTTTATTTTTCTCCATATTTGAGGACCTACAATCAATTTATTGATCATTTTGGCTTCTGGTTTGACTTCAGAGTTAGCTGTCTCTCTGATGAGTTACCTTCCAAGGCTATCGAGGCCCATCTACACGGGATGCATGTAATGTTGGCCATGGCGGGGATCGAACTTCAGATCACCAACATTTGGAGTGAGTGAGTTTAGACCAATCAGCCACCCAACATATCACCATTGTATAAGCATGATGCCATCATCGCTAATCTGATATAATTGTAATTATAATAGATCCGTTGCTTCATTGCTTGAGCACACAAAAAAAAAATGATTAAAAAAAAAGAGATCTCTTTTTTTTTTTAATCATGACAGAAAAGAAATTATTACCATATTTAAAGATGTCTTAGAAATATAAAAATATTCTGCACAAGGAATAGATAGAATGAACATATTATTTTCAGGCCTAAAAGAAAGATTATCATTCGATTTAAAGACTTAAATGAAAAAATAACCTGCTCAAAACACGGAAAGGAAAATCCTTAGAAAAAAATGCACGGGTCTGTTATTGATAATGATGGAAGGAGAATTCGTACAAACAAAAGAGGTTTTTCAGTTGTGTGAGGAAACATCCATAGTTACTGCAATTATAGAAAGCTGGATGTGCTGGACAGAACGACTGGAGATGATGCAAGATTATAGAAGAGCGAATGTGTTTTACAGACAGAGACCGAGGGTCAGACGTGTCACGGGTCGACCAAGATTGAGATGGAATGATGATATGAGATGAATTTAAATCAGCTGGGGGTCCGTGCTGGGAGGCAAAAACACATTGATGGGTCAATTATGGAGGGATGTGGTAGAGCACGCCAGAACCCTTCATGGCTCGTAGTGCCACTGATGATGAATATGAGCATTTTAATTCATAACATATCATATTCTCAAACCGTTACACTATACAATCCATGCATTTAAAATACTTAAGGTATGTATTTAGAAAATAATAATTATTATGTACATTATAATTTTGTTCAATAACAAAACATTTTGTTATTAATTTTAAACCATACCTTACACATTTAGATTAAAATTATTACTAGAATGTTGTATTGATTTAATTGAAAATGTTTTAGTTTTATATTTTATCATGCTTTAAAACAATGAGGTCAATATTGATATCTTTTTCAAAGCAAACATGAAAACAAATGGATCAACTGATAACTCCAGCAGAGGAGCTTTGCCATTCAATACATGATAACGAGATTTAACTTAAAAATACTTTCATTATCTTTCTTGAGAAATAATTATTTTAAGATGGTTACAATTTTTTTCTTAAATTTATTTTATAGACCTGACAATAAAATAAACCATAAATAGGATAAGCCAGTTTTTCCCAGTGAGTTAGCTTTATCATTGTCGGATGTGGTAGCTGTTTCAAACTTTATAAAGAGTATTATCTGCCAAAAGTTCATAGGAGTGAAATTACAGTAGAAATTTAGAATGGTGAAGTCAGGTTTTTTTTTTTTTTACATTAAAATATAAAAATTGTCAGTTTTTGAAATGGACGGGGACTAGTTGATGGCATGTTTATATTTTCATTAGAAATGCTGACAAGTAAAATATTTTTAAAAATTTTGAACATTTGTTAGATCATATCTTTTATAGCCTTAAATTGCAAAAAATAACTAAAAAGGTAGAAAATTAAATTCCTATAGCTGAGATTTTATGAATTTCTGCAAGGAAATGTCCATCAATAAGAAGTTTATTTTAAAAGTCATTTCAACAATTTGCATAGACTGTGTGTTATTGAACACAGACATGAATGCTCACGAAGCAGTGTTTAAGCTTAACACCAACGGTCAAAGGGCCGTAAATTTCCTCGGTCCTGGATGGACGGACACCAACATTCTGTCCTGTGTGTTGAGATGTCTGCAGATCTACCAGTCCTGTTTTAGCGTCATGTTTTACGAGCATAACAAATACTGTTTACCTGGTGAGTCATTACCTCTTACCTGGTGAGTCAGTACCCCTTCCCTGGTGAGTCAGTACCCCTTACCTGATGAGTCAGTACCCTTTACCTGGTGAGTCAGTACCCTTTACCTGGTGGGTCAGTACCCTTTACCTGGTGAGTCAGTACCCTTTGTTTGGTGAGTCAGTACCCCTTACCTGATGAGTCAGTACCCCTTACCTGGTGAGTCAGTACCCCTTATCTGGTGAGTCAGTACCCCTTACCTGGTGAGTCAGTACCTATTACATGATTAGTCATTACACTTACCTGTGTTGAGAAGATAGAAATCGTTTTCAGTCTAGACGACTACACTGGTTTTATTAGGAAAAAAAAAGACAATAATTTACTCTTTCGTCTTGAGCTGCAGGTAAATGATCTAAGTAATTTCTATTTATTCTTACGTAATTTTAACGTTGCCCCTGTTTTCAAACTTAACGTTAATGATGGCCCGCATAAAAAATCAGATGGTCTCCTTGTGGAAAGAGCAATTAAAATAGATCACATTACTTACCGTCGTGTCACAGTAAATTCTGACATATACAACGCTTAGAGTCAAACATTTCTGGCCTTTCAAAGCAGGTTTTAGCACAGTCGGCGATCCCAGCTCCAAATACACGCGGAGGTTTCGTTTAATTTTGGATTCCCATGCAGCTTTATATCGAGCTAAGTTTCACTTTAGCACTCCCGGTTACGTAAAAAAATATATCTACTCGCCTGACATATAAGGAGGACTTTTTGCTAATGTTTTACTTCTTTCGTTAGTCTTATTTCAAGTTTTCAAATATCTTGTATTCATTCAATATTTTGAACTGGAAGGCCACCCTTCCAAAATATTCTCATCTCTGTACTTTGATGCCTATCATGTTTTTATTGATGTAATTTTCTCTTGTTCATTTAGTCGAATTCATGTGAGAAGATATAATTAAATAACTAGACTCACATCTATTAAAACATATAACAAAATTAAAAATTCAAACAGTTTTTATTTCAACAATGTTTAGTTGAGCCCTCTTTCCATTTAAAGCCTGTTGTCACATCGAAGAATTATGAGAATGCTAATTTCGTAAATCTGTAAGACAAAAAAAAAAAAAAACAAGTATTTCTTTCCATGTTGCAGAATTCATTGTTTCAACACTTTTATCTCACCTGCCAGGTTCCTCTTTAGTGACTACTTCCGCTCAAAGTCAACTCAAGACCGGTACAATTTATTACAATAGCCGCGTTTGTGACGCTGACATGGACTTTACCTGGTACAGCTCAAATGATGTAGGGGTGTGTCTTTGGATCTCAACAGAACAACTGAACTTTAACGACGCGAGGAAAACTTGTACAGGTAAATATATTGGGGGAAATAATTGTACAGGTAGATACAAGAGTAAATTTTAGTTCTTGTATCTCGGTCATTGTCAAATTTACATCGATACAATTAAATAGACGAAATATTAATTCGTTCGTTGAAATCGATCAAGACTATTTCTTTTAAGCATTGGATTCGTACTAGTTCTGAATAATACTTATAGTGTATCAATGAATGTCTGAGAATGGCTACTAAACATACAAAAAAATTCTTTTCTTTTTCTTCCACAAGTCCAAGGAAGAACAGCACTACATTATTAATAAGTTCTAAAATGTTATTTACCTGTCGTGTCTCTGGCCATCTACGCCCTGCCTAGATTCGTATCAGAGAGACTTTTTTTAACTGTTCAAACACTGCGCTGAAACATCTTTTCTCTCCTCACTTGTAGCCAAGGACGGAAATCTGTACACCATGAAAGTTAATGAGAAGATCGATATCCTGAGTGTTGCTCTTAACGGGAGTGTTGGGATGTTCTGGATCGGACTGGATGATTCCCTCAGGTGGGCGGACGATGAAACGGTTATCACACCGGAGTTGAGGCAGCGTCTTTTTGGGGCAAGTGAGTGAAATAACTCCCATACTAAGGAGTACGTTTTTGTTGTACACTAAGGAGCACCCGGCATGCGTGGCAATGCCACTCAAAGAACAAAAGTGTTTGTGTTTGAATTACGTTTTTGAAGTAATTTTTAAATAGAAAATATTTTTTTTTCGTCTGGTGCGTACACAAATAAATTAGAAGGTTCTTTGACGCATGAAAAGGCCACATGCAGCTGTCCACGTAAAAAGGCCACATGCAGCTGTCCACGTGAAAAGGCCACATGCAGCTGTCTACGTGAGAAGGCCACATGCAGCTGTCCACGTAAGAAGCATGGATTTTATACATTTAGTCCACACACTTGTAGCGATTGGTCCACCCATGCAGCAGCTCTGTTTGAAATTATATTTATATAGCTCACATACTTTTAAAAAAAAATAAGGCCCCCGGCCCCAAACGTCAAATTGTAAAATGGTTGTACTAATTCAGAAACCTAATTATTATGTCACAAAAACTGAAAAGTTGCTCGTATTAAATTTTACTAAATTCCGTCCACCCAATTGTATTTTTGAAAATATATGTGTATATCTCCTAAACGAAAAAAAAATTTGCGGGCTTGCGCACAACAATTTACCACAATTTTAACACAATCGGATGAATAGTATAAGAAAGCATACTGAAATTTTATTTAACTCATTACAGTATGACAGAAAAGAAAAGGAATTTACGGCTTTGGGCCCAAAAAGGAATATTGTAAAATTTGTGTAATAATTCAGAAAAATGTTCGGGCGTATGCACAACAACTCACATTGCGTCATTTTCTTCTTTTTTTTAACCGAGTGGGACACAACCAAATCATGTTGTTGTACCCCCATTTTAAGACGTTTTTTACGCGAAAATCAAATATTCTAAGGAAATATTTATTATATCATTCTTGACATGTTCCAGAGCAGCCAGACCAAGTTTCCACGGGACAGAACTGCATCAAATACACGGCTGGTTTTAACACTTTGGGCGGTGACACTTGCAGCACATCATACAACTATGTGTGTGAGTTGAAAAAATGAGATGAGTCAACTAGACTGAGCCAATGTATCGGTTTGATTACGGGACGTGGATCATTCATAAAGATTTGTTGAATGTATACCAAACGATCTCACCATTCATTATGCTATACGGTAGCGTTGTAGTTGTTACCCACATGAAGAAACATTTCCATATTTCTCAATTACGCCTTACACCTATAAATTAATGCTTCAATATTTTGGTAATTTGCAAGCAAAAAGAAATTGCTGTCCGACAATGAACAGAATTATACCAAGTATTTGAAAAATTTATTATTTTTGTTCTCTTCTAAAGGCAAGGTGAATTCAAGGATACATAAAGAGATTTGTTTGAAGACATATTTCAACATATTTGTAATTGAAATTAAATTATTAATTTCCGACCCATTTTTTTCCAAATTTTTTTCAATACAGGCTTTTCCTTCTCATTAAAAAAATGTATACTTATTATTTTCATGGAGTACTTTGATCAATTTTTAATATCACAAAATACGATAGGCCTTTAATTCTTTTTTTTAAGGTTAAAAAATTTGTGTAAAATAACAACTATTGATGTAAAGTTTCCCATAATTGTCGATGGTATATTGTTCATTTTTGTATGTAATAAAATTTTAATGTCCATATCTCAATATGCTGACTACCTTAGATTTGTCTCGTTGACGTGGCACTTCTAAGCAGTATTTCAATTCACCAATCATGTCTTAAAGTATATAATTTTTCTTTTCATAGCGTTATTAAATATCACACAATATTGCTTCTAATGAAGTATACATGTAAGAAATTAAATGCGACATCGTTCGTGCAAGCAACGATGGCGTGTGTGTTTCCGAGAGCTGAAAAATACGACTGGAATATTCTCCTATTTCGACCGATTCTGCCTGGGCGCCCTATGTCAAATAGACGAGAGACTTATGCGAACGATGGCGCATTATGTCAAGTACACTAGCGACTTATGCGAACGATCGCGCATTATGTCAAGTACACTGAGTCTTATGCGAACGGTTACTGATGATCGCCTGGTTTGCTAGAGATTGCCTTACATCCCAATGAAGGAAACAAATGGATAAGAAATGACAATTGTTTAAAATTTCATGGCGTCCTTTTTTGCGAACTCTTTCATGTTTTCTTTCGTTCGATATTTAAATGAAGCGTCATACGATGAGTGGGTGAGGGGGGACGGGGAGCGACATAACTTGACCTCTTCTTCAGGTTTCCTTGACCACCGATGACCAACGGTAACGACGATATAGAAGGATGCAGCAACTATAACAGCCCCCCCCCCAAAAAAAACAAAAAAAAAAAAAAAAAAAAAAAAAAAAAAAAAAAAAAAAAAAAAAAAAAAAAAAAAAAAAAAAAAAAAAAAAAAAAAAAAAAAAAAAAAAACAGGAACATTTTTGTAAAGAACACACGTCACAAAATATTCACCCATTTAAGAAAAATCGTACAGGGGAGAAAAACAACAACTTGTTTTGGTCAGATTTGTTCATTAATCGAGTAAGAACCCCAAACATGTTCAGAATTGTGTTTCCATTTAAGACCAGTTTAAACCAATAAGATCAAAAGCTTGGCAACCGGAATGCAGTGTAGTTCGTGAGCACAGACCGCTTTACACACAAACACACACACTGGTCGATTGGGCTGATACAAAAAATGTATTACTCCAATGTTCAAATATTATTTCAAATACGTCTCTGATTTTAGGGACATTTCTTCTTTGAATATAAAAGAGCCAAGATTTATTTTAATATCGACTATTATCAGGAGAAACGTGCGTCTGTAGGCTTGCCTTTAAACAGGTCAAAAATCGCTTGCAATGGCTGGTTCCTGTAAGTATTTGTTATGTTCATATATATATATATATATGTAGTGATGACCGTTTGAACCTGAGTCTGTTAGTGATGCTAAAACTTATTAAGCATTAAATAATGTTACGTTAATAAATAAATAAATAAATAAATAAATAAATATATATATATATATATATATATATATATGTGTGTGTGTGTGTCTGTGTGTGTATAAATTCAATCTCTCTCATTTATAATTTGTTTTTATGGTGACTGTGCGTATAAATTATCAATTTACACCAAAAAGACATTGGAGTCGGCGGTCAGGGATACGTCTTTAAGAAGAACGATGACCCCAATCAAACCATGACTCCACTGGGCGCTGAATGGGCGGGCCTTTGCCTACTGTCCTGCATTGTGGCATGTTTTCGTACGTACACGAACTGTCCCAGTGTCAGATACGACGAGCGTACACGACACTGCACACCGGGTAAGTTCTAAGCTGAACAAATGTACAAGACACGCCAAGCCAAGATTCCTAGATTGAACTGAGACATGGTTGAGGTGTCGTATCACCATATCACAATTTCACCCTATCACCATATCTTCCTATCACCATATTACCATATCACTCTATCACCGTATCACTGCATATCACGCCATAATTCCCAGTGATTAATAATTTCACTACAATGTCGCAATTGAAAATGTAAGCTACTGGATGAGGATGATTAATTACTTCTATAACGCATGTCTCCATGCTAGTCGAGCAAGCTTAAAGCGCTCTGGTTAAATCTATTTAAAGAAAAATGTCTTTAAATATCTCTAGAAAGATTGTTTTAAAGCATTTTTAGTTTCACCCTAAGATTGAGGCAAACTGTTCCATAATTTCGGCACTATGCTATTTGCTTCAAAAGAGCGCACTCCCTATGACTTCTTTCTGTGTCCATCCACACTGGGAGCTCTCAGTAGGGACTGTGATGAAGAGCGCAGGTTCTTTTAGGATATATGTTTGCAAATCAGTTCTTTTACATGCACGTTTTGGTTTTCTATTCTGCTGTCTCACAATCCTAATCCTTTGTTTCGTTTTGTTTACTATCCTGGTTACGTCATAATTGTAAGTCCAAAAGCTTGTGAGGTAAGTTTACTTTTCTTTCTTTTTTCATATTTTGTTCACTGAAGAATTAAGGCCTTCTGCCTATACGCATGTAGTGATTATTGAACATTTTTTGGTTATATTTAAAGTGTACCCATAATTTTCTTTTAATATTCCCCTTCACGCGTTTTGAACACAATAGCTACAATATTATTCTTTTCAAATTTTGAACATAGTTATTTGCAGTTTCTCAAGATTTCGTTTAGGAATTTATGAGATGGTTAAAATAGTCTAAAGAAAATGTGTTTACAAAAACCTTTTCTCTTACTTTGCCATATCAATTTAACTACTATGCTCTTTTCTTTGTTATATTTTCATTTCTACTGTTGGCTGAGGAAGGCTTTATGCCGCAACATCCTTGTTTCTTGTCCTGTTATCTTATTTCAAGCTTCCACATTCCTCGTTTTGCTATTTCATCATTTTAACAGAATAGTTTTCCCAATACGTATAAATTGAAAATTATAAATATGCATAAAAGGGTAATAACAAGATCTGTTTCAGTAGTTCAGATTTGGCATCTACCCCAAAAAAATTTTTTTTGAAAGAAATGTGTCTGAATCAGGAGTTCAGAAGTTCAGTATAGATTGATAGAACAAATAATGATTTTATGCCGTTTGACGTGCATTTTCTTAACAGGAATGAATACGGTCTCCCCTCTATGCGTGTCTATAATATTCTTCCATTTTCTTCTAGGATTGGTTCACGTTTGCCTGATTTGGATTCATAATTAATTGACGCCCGTATTATCGCGTTGTACTTTTGAATTCTGTCTGCTTCAGGTTCCGTGTTGTACGAATCAAGGGATCAGCATTTACCTGGCGAAGGTACGATCTACTATTCAGTGAGTTCCAGTTTCACGTGCATGGATTTCCAGATGTATGCGACTGGTGATACCCGCACGTGTGCGTGGGTCTCATTGGTTGCTCTTAACTATACAGACGCCATGAATGATTGCATGGGTGAGTGGGTCAGCTCACTATGTTATAATGACGATGCGTCTCTCATACCTTGGTGATTTTTGAGTCCAGCGACTATTGCTATGGCTATAACGTACACTTGTTGTGAGTTATGTAATACACTTGCACCACTACGCTCCGGTACTACGTACTGAGCTGACGGCCATGCATCACAAAGTTCTTAGTATTATATGCCAGATAACGGACTCCTCTATTATAATAAAAATCACATATCTCAATCATTACTATCAAAAGTCACTAATAATCTTCTCGACATACTACAATCACATAATAAAATCTATTTTTAACAACAGGCACTAATAATCCTTTCGAAGCCCCTCCCTTATCTCTCACTACTCCATGTATCCATCACACTGCTCGTCTCTCACCCTGACACACTATATGTATCTACAACCTCCCGCCCATCATCAATGACAACCTCACGCCTTGTTCACTCATACTCGCACTCCTTCTGGTGAACACCACTTACTCTAATCCCAGACATAACAACAGTGATTCTCACACCCTTGACCGTGATGTTTGTTATGAAACCAACACAAAAGAACATTTTGTATATGCACAGACAATCGTTCGCTCAACTAGGCACAAACCATTTTCGGGGTTGATCAGATGAGCTGAAGCCTATATTATTCTGTGTCATGATTACAATGTTCCCCCACCCCAGAGCACGCCATGACGGATGAATAAATTAGCGCGTTCACTTATAGGATATCATAATTTTAAAGTGGTAATTACTCAATCATAATAACTTGAATTCAACGTGCATTTTGTTCAAAATAATATTTCAGATGAGACAGTAAATTGAAAAATATCCGTATTTGAATTTGTCCGTTTTTGTTCTCCGAGTCCAGACAGAGGATCCCATCTCTATACGGTAAAAGACAAAGACAAATTAGACATTCTCTTCAACATTACAAGGAACAGCAGCTCTTACTGGTTGGGGCTTGATGATATCGGAGAAGAGAATGTCTTCAGATGGGTGGACGACAACACGACGCTGACCATTGAGATGAGACATCTACTGTTTCAGCAAGGTAATGAAGGTATACATTTTCTGTTTAGGGATGTAGATCTGGTTGATGACAGTCTGATCATTAATTTATATTTTATATCAGGATTTGAAATTAAGCGACTTTTTAAAAAGGTTTGTGTCCTGTGACTGTTTGAAAAGGTTTGTGTCCTGTGACTGTTTAAAAAGGTTTGTGTCCTGTGACTGTTTAAAAAGGTTTGTGTCCTGTGACTGTTTGAAAAGGTTTGTGTCCTGTGACTGTTTAAAAAGGTTTGTGTCCAGCGACTGTTTAAAAAGGTTTGTGTCCTGTGACTGTTTAAAAAGGTTTGTGTCCAGCGACTGTTTAAAAAGGTTTGTGTCCTGTGACTGTTTAAAAAGGTTTGTGTCCTGTGACTGTTTGAAAAGGTTTGTGTCCTGTGACTGTTTAAAAAGGTTTTAGTCCTGCGACTGTTTAAAAAGGTTTGTGTCCTGTGACTGTTTAAAAAGGTTTTAGTCCTGCGACTGTTTAAAAAGGTTTGTGTCTGCAATGTTCTCTCGATTCATGAGAGGACTGTACTGCCGGAATGCCTTTAATTAGGTTAAAGGTCACAAACATGTCAAGATATTAGACGAAACGTTTACATATGTATTTTGTCATAGAATTAAAGCTAACTTATATTGTTTACCAAACATTGGTCGTGTCTCTTAATTAAGTAGATTTGCGCAATGTTTTTTGTTTGTACCGGATCATGTAACATGAATTTGCATTTGTGGAATATTGTGTAGCGACTTGGAATATTCTCTCATGTTAATACAAAATCATGAGGCAACTTTGCAATATCAATACATGGCAATAAAACTATGTTAATGATAGAAATTGATGAGATGTTGTATGTTTATGGTAGAAATTGATGAGATGTTGTATTTTAATGACATAACTTGTTGAGATATTGTATGTTGAGGAAATGACTTGAGGACATGTGTTTATAATGGGTTTACTTTACAATATTTTTAAAGATAAGAATATAAATTTGAGGAGATATAAAAATAAAAATGTCAATAATATGATTGATTTTTTTTTAGCATTCTGCTAGCATATTTGACAATAACTCAATGACGGCATGCTTATTCCCAAACATATTTCAGGCCAACCAGATAACCGCAATTCTTCTGAAAACTGCGTAGAATTCAATGCAGGCTATGGGCCGTTGAATGATAAGAGGTGCAGTGCGAAGACCAAATATATTTGTGAAATAAGTCCTGTGCTTGATCCGCCCAAGAGTCGATATTAATTATAATAAATAATAATTTCATTAAAAAAAAGTAAAAGCTTCAGTCTTAGCTTTTCAGAATCATTTCTGTTCAGTTTAGTTTATTTCTTTTGCTATGTCTTGCTACCATGAATATTTAATAATGCATTTATAATAATAATTCCAAGTGGATCTGTCTTGTCCGTCCCGATCTCACTGCGCACCGTGTTGCGCTCTCACTCACTGCTTCCGCCTTCGTGCGCTTAATCAAGTACGCACCAAAGCAAACAAACAAAAGAACATCTAGATGAACATCAACGCGCATGCAATGAGTGATTTTCCTTTAGAGGCCCTGGCAGTAACATTTGAATAGGACTTGGAACAAGCAGTATTTTAGACACTAAACGTATTTGCGTCGTCCCCCAGATAGTTAAAATACTAATTCGAATGTGGTCGTTGTCTGAACAGATTTCACACCACGATGTTTTCTCATTCGCTGCTTCCGCCATTGTTACCAACCAAACGCACACCAAAAGACATATTATCCAAGAACCTCCTCCTTTATGAATGCAACTCTGTCTAAAAGGTGTTTGGTAAACTCTTAAGACCATATAGAATATAGAGTCAACACAACTAAGCATTGGTGAAGATATGGAGCCCCATTTGGATTAACTACGATCGATATATTATTCACCTATTCCTGTATTTTACCAGCGCAATTATACAACAATTATACAGCAATTATACAACAATTATACAACAATTATACAACAATTATACAACAATTATACAACAATTATACAACAATTATACAACAATTATACAACAATTATACAGCAATTATACAACAATTATACAACAATTATACAACAATTATACAACAATTATACAACAATTATACAACAATTATACAACAATTATACAACAATTATACATTAATTAGACAGCTATTATACAGCAATTATACAGCTACTATACAGCTATTATACAGCAATTATACAGCTACCATACAGCTATTATACAGCTATTTTACAGCAATCAAAAAACTATCATACAGCTACCATAAGCTACTATACAGCAATTATACAGCTACTTTACATCAATCATTAAACTACTATACAGCTATTATAATTACCTATGTTCAGTCATATTTGCTGGTGTCAGCTATCTCACTGTTTAGTAAGACTTTATTTCCTCTAGTTTCTCTCTCTTCATCCATGCAGTTCCTTTTATCATCTCCCTCAGTCTATCTTACTCTAACTTCATCTACCCCGATATCTCTCTTCGTCTTTCATCATCTCTCGGTATCCATCTTTTTGACTTCACCTCTGCCATTTTCCATCTTCTTTTTTCCGCACCCCCCTTCTCTCTTCCTCGTGTTCTGCATACTCTTCTTTTTCTGTCTTTACCTCATTCTGCCCATCTCTTGCTTTATCATTCTTTCTCTAACTCCCTCTAATGATTTCCTTGTCCCTTTCTACCTCACGTTTTCTCCTGACTTTGACATAATTTCTTTAGTTCCACACCTTCCTCTTTATATTAGTATTTACATCTCTCTATCTTCTTGCCTCTTGCCTCTATCATTTTGTCCAGATATCCCTCTCTCTCTCTCTCTCTGAACATTTATTTTATAACTTAAAAGCAAAGTCAATATCTCCTCTGCCCTTGTAACATTTTCTCATCGCATTCTTGAAATTATCATTCAGTATTTAGGAAACCTTGCTCTAAGAGTACTTCATCTAGACAAAAAGCTTGTTCTAAGAGTACTTCATCTAGCCAAAAACCTTGTTATAAGAGTACTTCATCTAGCCGAATCTTAAGGACCTGAAATTTATTTTTATCTTGACCCTGACTTTGTCTCACATCACGTGAACAGTCCGAGACAGGTGCGATCAAAGACGTCGCCTGAAAGGTTATAGACTTTATTCGCTCCGCGATAAGGAAATGGTTGGGGGACTACTGCGCAAATCTCTGAATCCTGGGATTCATTGATCAAAGTTACAGAACCAATCAACATATTTAATTAATAACCAGCCAGAAACAGAAAGACGGCGGCAAATGAGCTTGATTAAAAAAAAATACTGGAGAGATCTGATCGTGTCGTTTTCTTAAAGCGTTAGCAAAGTACCCTATCACCATGTCAGATCTTTGGAAGTGCAATAAAAGATCAATTTACACGTAAGAACGTTATTGTTAAATAAAATCTCAATATAATGTGTTACTCTTTCCTATTTATTGCCCAGGCCTTAAACACTTGATATATTTTTACATTGCCCATTGGTTGCTATATTTGTCTTCTAAGCCGACATATTAACACACATTGATGTGAATCCCACGTGATACAATACATGGCTCTAATGCCCCCGTATTACTATACATATCCCACATATTTATCACACGTGGCTGTAAGGCCTCAATTTACTATATTCTCACATATTACCACTCATGACCGTGAAGCCAACATTTTACCATACGAAGCCTACATATTATCATAGATGGCAATGAAACCCACATGATACCATACATTCCTATAAAAAACCACATGAAACCATACGTCACTGTTAAAATCCACATGTTACCATAGTTTCTTGTGACCGCCCACATGTTACCATACGTAACTGTTGAAATCCACCTGTTATTATACTTTCCTATGAAGCCAAAAGTTAACAAAAAGGCACATAATCCACAGCAAACATTGCCAACACAAACTGATCCCGAACGATGACTGAAAAACCAAAGCCCCTTCCAGTCAGGGCTCTGCCGGTCTGGAAAGTTCCCTCTTAATTACCCAAACACAAGAAATCTTGATGGCTTGACATTTTCTTTAATTGCGGTGGTCAAAGGAGGAAAAACCAGGGTCAAAAATTAATCGCCCAATGTTTTGACCGAGGCACCACATGTTACTTTCTTCCCTAGATTAAAAAAAAATATTTAGTATAAATTGGCAAAAGAGTTTTTAAAAAACTGAATATATTTTGTTATCAGATGCACTTTCGAAAGACAAAGAGCTTTTTTTTTAAAAAAAAAAAAACTCCATGTTTTATGTATTTTTCTATCTAGGATGTGTGAAAATTTTAAAAAAAAAATGGCGAAGGAATATAAAGAGAAAAAAAAAAAAAATAAAAAAAAAAAAAAAAAATATTTAGTATAAATTGGCAAAAGAGTTTTTAAAAAACTGAATATATTTTGTTATAAAATGCACTTTAGAAAGACAAAGAGCTTTTTTTTTAAAAAAAAAAAAACTCCATGTTTTATGTATTTTTCTATCTAGGATGTGTGAAAATTTTAAAAAAAAAATGGCGTAGGAATATAAAGAGAAAAAAAAACAAGTTGCAAAGAAACGGACTGGACGCGCTAATGAAATAGACTACACAAATGACAATGACAACAGATAGAGCAAAAGATAGATATTATCGTTTGTTCTGAGTATAGCAAGGCTAATTTATTCTGAGATTAAGGGAATAAACAATAGAGCTAATGCAATACGTTAACCGTTTCATTAGACAGCGCACAATTAATAAAGCAGAAAAGTAATTTTAACGGAAAATTGTTAATAAGACTAAAGCCGGGACACAAAGCTTTTGGGACGCCTTTTTAGATTATAAGGAAAGATTTCGGGAAGTGGCAATAGCGTGATCGAGAGTACTTCTTTGTGCTTTTTTTTAAAAAAAAAATGAGAGTTTTAGGAAATCCCAATAATTTTTATGTCTGGATATTTAGTTATGACACCTTGCGCCAAGGAGCAAGTATAGGAAACGACTAGTAGCGCTCTAGTTAACACACTAAGGCATCTTACTCCGTTCAAATTGTAGTGTTCACTACCAAGACAAAACAACATATAAAATTGAATCTTCCGATTGTTTAAACATTATCTTGAAATAGAGCATGTAAAAATCTTTAGAGGTTTGACACCATTTATAAAAAATTTAAAAAAAATATATAAAAAATACATCGCATTAAAGCTAAAATGAGAATCTTACTTTTTAACTGTTCATGCATTCTTAGCATTGGATTACAGCTGACATTAATCCTTTTTTGTAAGTGGGCCCTGCGTTGTGTGTAACAATTATTCTACTCTGTACAATGTCATTCCATGTACACTTTGACGCCATGTAAGGAAACTATTAAATTTAAATGTTTACAATCGAATTCAATCTTTCGATGTTAGAAATTAGATCATGTACACAATTTTTGTAGAGTCTAATGCCCTTTGTCTACTTTTATGCGGTCTATTTAATTTATTGTATTTGAATTAAGGTTTTGAATATGAGACTCGGTGATTTAAGACTCATGTTTAAATTTTAAACCTTACGAAAGATTAAATAAGTTAACACATTTTACAAAAAACATGATTACTATATTTCTATTAAACAAAATAATGTAGAGATCACAATATATATGTGTTTATTATTATTTTTTTTTACATTTAGCGTTGAGATTTTATGGCAGAGCAGATACAGATATGATGTTTAAGGAAACAGACGCTGGCGAGCTCCACATGACAGATTTTGACGTTGTATGGAGAGACATGGATCTGCTTACATGCGTCATACGGTGTGTAAGTGAATTCAAGTCCTGCTACAGTGTTAACTATAACATGACGACCAGGCTCTGCATTCCTGGTGAGTAATTTAAAGTTAGGCAAAGTATCTTCAGCTGTGTTTGAATCGACACAAAGGTGCAAACATTAAAAAAAACAACAACAAGAAAACAACTCAACAAATCATAATACATAACAATTTTGGAAGGGCAGCCATTTGGCCTAGAAGGCTCGCTTGCAAGCTTTAGTATTCTTTGCTTAGAAATAGAACTGATAAATGGCATTTATATCAAAGCCTACCATCAAATCAAAATATAATTTAAACATTTTTTTTAAATTTAAAACATAAATAAATTGCTGCTAAAAAATTTCAGTCTTAGTGACTTTAATTTCAAACTCAAATATTTGTGTTGTCCTTAGAAACTCAGACCTCTGAGACCTCTGAGACCTCTGAGACCTCTGAGACCTCTGAGACTTCTGAGACCTCTGAGACATCTGAGACCTCTGAGACTTCTGAGACCTCTGAGACATCTGACTGAAAAAAAAATCCTTATTCCATGCACTGATATAATTGATACGATCATTCACTACAGGATCATGGCTGATTTCAAATAACACCATTCAGTACCATGCACAAACCCGTGGCGTCATCTACAGCACCGGGGCCAAGTGTAACGAGACGGAGCAGTTCGTGTATCATAGAAAGGCAGATGTCACCACGTGTTATTGGATATCGGTGAATCAGTTTAACTATGAAGATTCAAGAGATGACTGCATAGGTGAGCAACGATCGTGAACTATTAATTAATAACATCGCAATTATATTTGCCTGCTGTAAGGTGTTTAGGCCATGCCTGCCATTAAGTTTCCTTCGTCTCATTTTCACCCTCTCAAACATAGAAGTGCGCCCCATGTGTTCGTAAGTGCACTCGTTTCATTTTACAAATACAACAGTGCGTTTGTGAATAGACTGATACGAATTTTTTTGTACGATACAACGTTATGGTATCTCTCTATCTAGTTATCATCAACGTCGTCATCACAGAGGCCTCTGGCCTGTTTCCCCACACGATTCCAACACACCAATCTGTTTTTGTTTGGCCTTCGCTTCAGCCTCACCTGGTGTAAATCCACCTCTTCATCATTAATCAATCTCAGTCTGGGTCAACTGGTACGCCATCTGTCTTTTAGTTTTTAACAAGAAAATCTGCACATACCTTTTATTCCTCTATAATTTGGAATCATCGCGAGGAGTTTCCGTCCAGTGCTGTCAGGCATTTTTATTTGCCGTACCTATGGTTGCGTCTTCCTACAATTAAAACAGTTCTTGATTTTTTTTCCGAGGTTCCATGCCTTATTATCCTGGATAAGCCCGTACATTTTTTATGATTGTCCGTTCTCACGAATTGAGCAGGCTTCCAAATTTTGGTTTGATGTTTATACCCTCCTGCACACACGTCCCTATTTGCATTTTAATATTGAGAAGTATAGTTTTATTTGTTTTCCCTGAGAGGTTTTTGGCTAATGTTAGCTTTTGTAGACTAAAATATGATGCCTTTGCCTGATGTTCTTTGTATCTTCAAGTTCATTAATTCTTTCAAAGAAGCTCATTTATGTTAGCTCCTAGTTGTTTGATTGTATCAACGCTCTCAAAGACGAGTTTTTATTTTGATGTTATTATGTGTAAGTCTGTTTCGTGACATTACTTTTTTTACGTAGTCTTTGCTTCATTTACCTCTAAACCAGTTTTCCCTCAACCTTCCTAATGCCGCGACCCTTTACTACAGTTGCTCATGTTGTGGTGACCCCCAAACATGCAATTATTTTCGTTGCTACTTCATAAATATATGTTTTCTGATGGTCTTAGGCGACCCATGAGTAAGGGTAGTTTGACCCCCAAAGGTCTCGTGACCCACAGGTTGAGAACAGCTGCCCCAAACCTTCCTTAATCACGGCATTATCAAGTTAATCGAAATATTTTATGATGTTGTCGCTATTCACTGCCTAGTAGAGATATGTTATCCGCATTTACCATGTAGTCTAATGATTGGCGATTTGGTGCTCCTGGTGGTTGTAGTTGTAGTGCTGTAAGGTTTCTTAGTTCGCCGGAAATATTTTGTGGTCGTTCCACTTGTGCTTAAATGGATGTCTCGCACTTGTGTGGCGTGGCCCATTTCCCCATCGGGTGTCACACCAGGTGGGGGGGGGTAACGGAACATCCGCCAGATAGAGTGGGTACGGAGTAAATGGAATACCCAAGTTGGAAAAAGTCAACAACTGATGCCTTGCAGACAGTAAAGCAATTGACAACGGTAACTACACTGAGAGACATAAAGGACTCGCTCCCCGGATGTTGTCTGCAGGATTATAATGTTTCTAAAATGTTAGAGCAATAAATTTTTTTTCCATAGAAGTTACAAGAAACGTGTTCATTTGGACGCTTATTTCCTGTCTATTCCTATTAAAGACGAGTCATTTTATTCTAATTCTTTTTGTTTTTTTTGGACTAGCTTAGTTGGCAGTAGATGCGGCCCATCGATAATGACGTTTCTTGTACATGTTCGATGGATTGCCACATCTGCACACACATGAAACGTTCTTAAACTCAGTAGACATATCGTGCAATCATAATATTGGCAGACGCTGGAAAACTTCGCAAACTCAATAGATACTGAGATAATCTCATAACATCTGTAGACAGTGGACGAATTCTTGTATTCTGTTGAAGATTTTTTCCTCGGCAGTTCCATGTCATTTCTCATTTCAGGGAAGAACGCTCATCTCTATACAATCAAATTGAAAGAAAAATTTGCGATTCTTAGGGAAATATCAACTGGCCAAATCCACGATGTTTGGATCGGATTAGATTCATTACAAAAGAAAGGTGTCCTCAGATGGGTGGACGACAACTCACGACTGACGGGCAGCCTCAAGCATGAGATATTTCAACAAGGTGAATTTAGAAAAAATAATTTTGTATTAAAAATAATGCGATATCTTCAAAAATAACTGTCCTTAGCGGCAGTTCTAGGTTGGTTGCCATTTGTAAAAAATAACTTTACATAAGTCAAGCGGCTATTGGCAGACGAACAATTTTTCCGGCGGATGTTAGGTAGTTTAAAATTGTTTAGAGGACGAGGGTGTCATGAGATGTCGAGGGTGTCATGAGACGTCGAGGATGTCATGCTGCTGTTTTCTTCTTTTTGTTGTAAGAATAAAACAAGATCAGTTTGTTTTATTTTCAAGAGAACCTGGAAGTTGGCCTATGCCATAATGAACTCCTTTGTAAGAAAAATTCATTGAGGTAATTTTGAACGTGTCAGGGGCTAGGACATCGAAAAATGTCAAACTGTCAGCTAGCTGAATTTATCGAGATGATTCTATCGCAATGGCCTACCAACTTATTTAAAATGTCCTACTATTCTAAGCGTTATGTCCAGCTGACTATTTCGATGTGTCCAGCCGAACTTACAGAACTGTCCAGTCAAATTCGTCAATGAGTCTATCAATCCTTATTGAAAAGGTTCAGCAAAATTTATAAAGATGTCCAGCTAACTTTTTATCGATATGCCCAGTGCTGTGTCCATTTTTATTGGAGCTCAAAATGTTTATTTTTAGTCACATTGGAAAACTTGTTGTAATCTTGGAACTTAAAATGTAATGTGTATTTACACGTAAATTCATAGGATACCAGACTCAAGGAAAAAAAAAGAATAATCCCAGACAATTCATTGAATTTGAACATGTACATAAGACTATATACGATGTACACATGTACCTCTATTGTGTACACAGTTCTTCGTAACGACCGCAGTACAATTCGTCGCGCCAGAATGAATATGCTGTCAAAAAGGACAACAGAATTTTTAATTGTATCTTTGACGTAATTTTATCATTGATAAATTGACGCCATGAAATGTATAAGGTGTGTTGAAGTTGACCGATGAGGCTTCGTTGAGCAGCGCTGTATACTCGATTTTTGCTTTGTCAATATTTTAATATCTGATTCTATTCCAGATGAACGAAATAACTGGACAGTTAGGAAAAACTGTACAACTCTGGCAGTGAGTGGAGACCTGACGATGAAAGACTGTAAGCAAGCATACAATTTTGTGTGTGAAATGAATCCTTTCTCCAAATGACGATTGGAAAAGCTAACAGCATCGGTGTGTGACGCATACAAAGGATATAATTGGTTGGTTATCTTGACCACTTAGAGGCCAATGACTTGCAGAAAGTTGCCAGGAATCCACTTCGCAAGATGTGGACTCAATTTCTGCAAAGTTGCCATTCCACTAACTGATCTGTTGACATTCATTAAATTAAAGTTTTTCCTCTTTAAAATTGGACATTTTCAAAGCTCCAAGCATGTTAAAACCAAGACTCTGAAACGACCTGATATGTTTGGAAAAAATCTAATCTGAGTTATGGCTAAATTGTAAAGAAAGGTAGAGACCTTTGACCTTCATACGTTTATAAAACGTATCTGTAGTGGCATAAAAAACATTGAAAACGAAAAATTGTCTGGTTTTTCAATAAAATCTTTGAGTTAAACAATATAAGAAGCTTTTTATACATAAAATTGGGTGAAATTCAATGCGGGTTTCGGCACGTTAAACAATAATAAATACCAATCATAAATAAACCAAATATATTTGTGAAATGAATCAAGTGCTTGATCTGACCTAACGTTGATAGTTCAATTTTAGTTTCTCTTGAAAAACCAGGTATTTATTACATGTTATCCAGGAATAATTTAATACAAATTAGTGGAATGTTTCTCAACTAAATTATTAGGTACTTAAGCTTGCCTGACTTGTAACCCGGTCTTGACTCGGCTTTTGGGAAGCGTTGTAATACGTTAAGTATGAACATTTGTTTATTACGTTTCTATAACCTTTAATGGCAGGATAAATAAATAAATCCTTAAATTTAATATTTTCTCATGTCAACTATTTTATTATTCTGTCTTTTTGTATTTTCTCCAATCTTTTTCTCTATATTCCTACCATAATCTCTTTCTTTCATTTCCTTCATTCTGTCTTTTATCCTCGGCTGGTTTCCTCTATCGATCTCTGACTTTTCCCTTACTTCGAATGCTTTCTTTATCCTTTTTCTATCGGACTCTCTCCTCTCTATCCCATGCCTTCTCTACCCCTGACTACCATACATATATCTATATATTTATATATATTTTGCTGGCTTGCGTCCATCACAATGTGACGGTGGTGAAAACTTCGCAGGACGAAATCCACAAGGCCTGGCATTATATTTCTAGGATTATAGTCAAAGACACACACTGCTTGTCATTTACTGCACCCTATTGTATGTCCTGTCGTCGTGACCAGGTCTTGCCATATCATCAAATAGTCAAGAGTGACGCTGAAGAATTCAAACACTCTCCCTCAGTTTACATGTTTTTAATAATTGTAAAGCGCTTAGAGCTTTAAGGTAAGCGCTATATAAAAATGCCTAAATAAATAAATAAATAAATAAATAAAATACAACTCAAGTCAACTCTACTACTCAAGTCGAAAATTACCGTGGTAATCTGCGTATGCGAAGGACCAACAACATTATACACTCTGATTCCTAGAGTCCAAGCAACACTGTTCAAATCTTAAAATTTGCTACTAAAATCACTATCGTTGGCTTAATATATTGAAGGGGAAAGCGTATAAAGCAACTTAGTTACAAACTTCACCAGTTGGTTCGAAGAAATGCTTCTTTAGTTGAATTTTTAAAATCGAAAGAAATGGTTCACATGAATTAGTTTTTCTTTATATAGTTAGCAGAGACATATAGGTAACTAAGGGTCCCTATTAATAAAAATCTGAAATTGCATGAACACTTCCAAATTCTGAATTAAAAGTCAACCAAAGACTTTCCTGTACTACACATTGTCCAATTTCAACGTAAAAACAAATAAGTTATTAACTTCTTTTACAGTGCATCAAATGGAAGACTACAGAACATCAATATTACCTGCAGTCGTGGAAATTCAACGTCTGAATTGATAAAATAAACGAATCAAGAAACCTAGGAACATCCAGCACACCAAAGATCCTTCATTTGATGAACTATTTGAAAAATATTGCTGTTGTTAAACTGATTTTTGTGTGTGTAGATAATACACCCCACCATCTTTATCGCATTGAGCTAAGCTCAGGGCTAAATCTTTCTTTTAAAATTAGGACCGAAAGAAATTCTAAACAATCCTTTTTTCTCAAGTCTGTAATGAATTTTGCAGCTTGCGCGCGCCCCCCCCCCCCTTTTTCCTTTTCCAAGCGGTTACCAAAACTAAATGATCACAAATTAAGTCATTATTGCCACTAATAAATTTCATTTATGGCTGATTTCAAAGCTAGAGAAATACTTTAGATGTCTCAAAATTCAAAGTTTTATGTGTGTAAAATGTTTTCTTAATTAAAATATGTATTTATTTATATGATGTTACTGAGTGTGTAAATTGTAATAAAACATATTTCCATTTACTTGGATCGATCAAAATTCTTTTGTTCCTAAGTCTGTACGAATTTACCAGCTTTAGATTAATTATTTCCTAAGAGAACAAAAGGTAATACATTTTGTCAAATTAAAAAAACCAACAACAACTTTTCAAATAAATACTCATGGACTTTGATGAACTTTGATAGATAAACAATGCTTAATACCCCCATAAAAGTTTGATGCAAGGTTACCACAATCTAGCCAACAATCGGAAAGGTGTTTATAAAATAGTTTAATAACAGCTAAAACATACCGATAAGGCACGGACCACAGACAACCAGGGCCCATGGTATAGATAAAACGACATTCATGAAGCCGACAACTCATTCGTCAAGTATAATGCCTGGAGTGGAAAAATGGTACGTGACGTTTGAATGTTGTAAAATATGCAAGAGACGTCGGATAGATAGCTATGTGGCAAGTCTTCAATTGTCATGTTTATATAGCAATTCCTTCATGCTGTACAATACGAAATGTTCCAAGAAGAGTAATAAGAGCTATACTCTCACATAAAACTTGGAATTACTCCCAGAGAGGAAAAAAAAAAGACCAATTTCATTAGCTCACCAGCACCAGATAATTGATTATTCTTAACAAAACAATTTTTAAAATTAGATACAATCGTAAACGATAAGTTGTTTTTTTCTCAAGAAGCCACTTTAGTTTCAGGTAAGCGTCTAGAACTCAATTGTCTTTGCCGCTTTGTATAGGTCATATCAGAGATTCAAGTAATACGATGAATTTGTTTTTGGAAATTCGATCGAGACAAACCGCTGTAATGAGAAAGATTCCTGCAAAGTTTAGAGACAGGAGTGTAGCGCTCAAGTAAAAAAAACCCACCTGTCTTTTTATTTAAATTCATGTTACCCCAAACCCTTCAAATTGTTTTTAAAACGACTATCACATGTGACCTATTAAATCTGGAGCTGTGAAATTTCAATTATTTTTCAGGATGTGGCAAAAGCGCTCAGAATGATTTATAAGAAAGAGACGAAAAAACAACAACCAATACTCGAAACTAAAATGAGAATCATACACCTAGACTGCTCGTGGCTCTGTAGCATTGGTCTACTCGTTAGCTTGATCTTACCTTGTAAGTTGAACGTGTTGAGGTTGTTTTATGTACATTATGGAAAACTATTTTCCCTTCGAAGATGCCAACTCATGTGAAGTCGGACGAAGGTAGGAATCTATTAAATCCAAATGTTACAAAGAAATTTAATCGTTGGATGGGTGAAACAAAAGCAATCAATCACATATAAAAGCCCACTCAAGTTTCTGTTTTAATCTATATTTACTTGGATGCAAGTGAAATTAATTAAAAATAATCTCTTAATGTTTTTTTACACGGTTGGCATTATCAAAGTACCATATTATTTTCATTATCAAAGTACCATATTATTTTAATATAAACTTCAAAAGAAATGCTTTGTTGTTTTTTTTTAAAAACAAAATTTAGCGTCACCATATTTTGCCAAAGCTGATCAACATATGCTATTTAAAGAAACCGACGTGGGTGAGTTCCGCATGGCAGATTTTGACGTCGTATGGAGAGGCATGGAGCTGCTTACATGCGTCATCCGGTGTGTAAGTGAATTCAAATCATGCTACAGTGTCAACTATAAAATGACGACTAAACTGTGCATTCCTGGTAAATAATATAAAGTTAAGCGTTGTAAAATGATTGTTTACTATTGACTGAAATTTTCATGTTAAAAAAAGCAATATTTTATAAAGGCTGGTTACTGGCTCAAGAAAACTTTTGCCTTTAGTCTAACATTCTAAAACACATTAAAGTAGATATTTAATTTGCTATTAAGCCTACACTCCAAAGAAAGTTGATAAATTCATTCTTGAAATGTCCATGTTGGTGGTTTTATTTCCTACTATTTCCTAATGGTGTTGTACTTACAAACTAATCCTCTTGAATGAAACGGGACTAATTAGTCGTGCAATAACTCAGTTCTTCAATAATCCCTCTAGGATCATGGCTTGTGTTAAATCTCACCATTCATCACCTGCCACAAGCCCCTGGCGTCATCTACAGCACCGGGGCCAGGTGTGGCGAGATGAAAACGTTCACGCATTACAGACATCAGGATGTCACTACATGTTATTGGATATCAGAATTTCAGTTAAACTATAAAAACGCAAAAGAATATTGCAAAGGTGAGAATCGATCGTGAATACAATAGTTTAAAAATTTTTGCAGTTCTAATCGTATGGCACTGAATGATTTAAAACACGCTTGTCATGCAGAATTAAATTTTCTGACATTGCATTTTAACGGGGGCAAACATAAAGAAAGTCTGGCGTGTCCATCCCAAACTTTATTTAAAATATAAATAGAACAGCAAGAGTGAGAAGAGAATCATATCAAAAAGAGATGAACTGTCACTAAATCCACAAAGCTCTAGCAAGATGCTATCCACATCAACAGAGAGTATGAGGACGCGGAAATAAACTGTTTAACAATCGTACAAAACAATACATATTTTATTTTTAGTTGAAATTTACAATTCTGATCATTTATTTACTTATCAATATATCCCCCCCCCCTTTTTTTTTTCAAATAACTCACCAATAAATTTTTTACAACGTCAAATTCCTCATATTTGCAACAATTTTAATTTTAATAACTCACCGGATAATGTTTTTTAAAACAAATGAGGACGCGGAAATAAACTGTTTAACAATCGTACAAAACAATACATATTTTATTTTTAGTTGAAATTTACAATTCTGATCATTTATTTACTTATCAATATATCCCCCCCCCCTTTTTTTTTTTCAAATAACTCACCATGAAATGTTTTACAAGGTCAAATCGCTCACATTTGCAACAGTTTTAATTTAAATAACTCACCGGATAATGTTTTTTAAATCAAGAAACTCTCAATGTAAGGCTTTCAATATTGAGTGACTCACCATGAAATGATTTTAATATGTAATAACGCATTATGTAATGTTTTCAATAAAAAAATAAATTGCCATGTAATGTTTTTAAGCTTAAAATAACACACTATATTATGTTTTTCATTATAAATTACTCACCATGTAATGATGTAGCACACAATGTAATAATTTTATGCAAAGTAACTCACCGTGTAATGTTTTACATGTACAGTGTCTTACTAGGAAATGTGCTTTTCAGACAAAGGAGCACATCTTTATACGATCAAACTGATTGAAAAGTTAGCGATACTCAAGAAAATAGCAAGTGAATCAAATCACAATTTTTGGATTGGACTAGACGATCTCAGAGAAGAAGGTGTCTTCAAATGGGCTGACGATGACTCGCGACTCACAGAGGGCCTTGGGCTTGAGCTATTTAATCAATGTAAGTATACTATAAAAGGAACTGCAAGCTTTCTTTACATATATATTTAAAACCAAAAGAAGACTTCAACTAACGGAACTCTTAAATTCAAAAATGAAGATTAAACATATCAACACTGGAGCTGAAAAAAATCAGAAATAAAAAAAAATCACCCAAGGGGGCCGAGTTGGGAAAGTTCGTAAATACGAAAACGATTAAAATAATTGGGCACTCTTAGATACAATTTAAAAAAAGTTAATACTTAAAGCTAGGGTAGCAATTCCCCCATTATGTTTAAAACGTTTAAAACAACAACAAAACAACACGTGTGGTGGCTTTTAGTTATATAAAAAGTATAAAAGACCACCATCTTAAGTATGGCAAAATTGATCTTTCCACAACAGCAAAACATTCAAAATGTTGTTTAATTTTTAAGAGGGTGGCGACTTAAAAACAAAAATGAAAAATAAAAATAAAATGTGTAGCAACGGAGGGTCGTAATGATTTACAGAGGACAAACAGCCATACAACTTCACTTTTGAGTTGAATGACTGCTTTGAAATCTAAGTCATTATACCGGGAATTTTGTAAGCATTAGGTGTTTATAAAGTAATTATTATGTTTTGTATCATTGTGGGGTGGGCTTAAACTTTGAGAACAATGTGTTTTAATCAATAACAAGTCTATGGGCAAACTTTCAGCTCAATAGGATGACAGAAAGAGGGTGAATTAGACCTCCTAAGGTTTTTCTGGCACAAAGAAACAAGAACAAAGGCGAAGTTAATATAAAGGATTTGGCAAGGTCAATGTCACAAAGGAGGATTTAGGAAATACGCGACCCAATGACAATCACAGGGAACTGTTTCTTGCTACAAAGTAACCACAGATGCGTTTTATATTTATTGCGATGGGAAGTGTCGAATCCGTCTCGATAGACATGGACAAGTTTTAAGTTATGACCAATAGAAGTTGAAGCACAATTTAAGAAGGAATAGCTTGTCTTCTTGGGAAGCTAAGACAATATAAGGACACTCTGTTTTATGAATAATCTTTTTCTTGACAGCATCTTAACGGCAGACCACACCCGATGGCAAAGAAAGTACACCAGGGGTGCCATGGCCCCCACGTAAGACGCCGCTTCAATTTTAATATATCCATGAAGCTATGATTATAATTTGTGAATATATTCCAGATCAACCAGATAACTGGGGCAATACAGAGGACTGTGCGCTCCTGGTGAAATGGGGAAAACTGAATGATGAAAACTGTGAAAAAGCATTTTACTTTGTTTGTGAAGTGAGTCCTTTTTCAGAATAAGTTTGGCGTTACTATGGAGATATCGGCCTATTAAGGGTACATTTGTGTGTGTTGTGTAACAGTCCGATCAGTAGTAAATTATCCAAAAGGAATAAACTTCAGATTTGTTTTTATTAATGATCAATAACACAAACAACTATCACGTCATTAGTTTTTCTTTACCAATTTTTTAAGCTATGCTTTAAATGCTTGAACTATTTTTTGCGACCATCAGCAAGTGCTAAATCACTTGGTTGGCGCTATTTTGCATGATGTGGGTAACATCGTGAAAGTTGGAGTCAAAGGGTCCAAAACCAAGTAGACGTAAAGGGTAAAATTAAAAAAAGAAAAATTCGCGAAAACCAGGGCTGCCCAGTAACCCAAAAAATAAAAAAGTCACTTATCTTGGTGTTAAGGAACTTGCTGGACCAGTAGGCAGATAGCAAGAAGACCAGAGGTGTATTCGCTGGCATATCGCTTCTATTTTTTATTTGTATATAGTAGTTCTGTACATGCCTTTCTTTCTTATTCGACGATAAATCAGCCATGTAATTTGAATGGCAAAGTAATAACATTGAATTGAGCAAATATAAGACATGTAAATTGAATGGCAAAGTAATAACATTGAATTGAGCAAATATAAGCCATGTAAATTGAATGGCAAAGTAATAACATTGAATTGAGCAATATATTCGGTACATTAAACTTACCGTTTCATTATTGTAACTTATGAGCAAATATAAGCCATGTAATTTGAATGGCAAAGTAATAACATTGAATTGAGCAAATATAAGCCATGCAATTTGAATGGCAAGGTAATAACATTGAATTGAGCAAATATAAGCCATGCAATTTGAATGGCAAAGTAATAACATTGAATTGAGCAAATATAAGCCATGTAATTTGAATGGCAAAGTAATAACATTGAATTTAGCAAATATAAGCCATGCAATTTGAATGGCAAAGTAATAACATTGAATTGAGCAAATATAAGCCATGTAATTTGAATGGCAAAGTAATAACATTGAATTGAGCAAATATAAGCCATGCAATTTGAATGGCAAAGTAATAACATTGAATTGAGCAAATATAAGCCATGTAATTTGAATGGCAAAGTAATAACATTGAATTGAGCAAATATAAGCCATGTAATTTGAATGGCAAAGTAATAACATTGAATTGAGCAAATATAAGCCATGTAATTTTGAATGGCAAAGTAATAACATTGAATTGAGCAAATATAAGCCATGTAATTTGAATGGCAAAGTAATAACATTGAATTGAGCAAATATAAGCCATGCAATTTGAATGGCAAAGTAATAACATTGAATTGAGCAAATATAAGCCATGTAATTTGAATGGCAAAGTAATAACATTGAATTGAGCAAATATAAGCCATGTAAATTGAATGGCAAAGTAATAACATTGAATTGAGCAAATATAAGCCATGTAATTTGAATGGCAAAGTAATAACATTGAATTGAGCAAATATAAGCCATGCAATTTGAATGGCAAAGTAATAACATTGAATTGAGCAAATATAAGCCATGCAATTTGAATGGCAAAGTAATAACATTGAATTGAGCAAATATAAGCCATGCAATTTGAATGGCAAAGTAATAACATTGAATTGAGCAAATATAAGCCATGTAAATTGAATGGCAAAGTAATAACATTGAATTGAGCAAATATAAGCCATGTAAATTAAATGGCAAAGTAATAACTTTGAATTGAGCAAATATAAGCCATGCAATTTGAATGGCAAAGTAATAACATTGAATTGAGCAAATATAAGCCATGCAATTTGAATGGCAAAGTAATAACATTGAATTGAGCAAATAGAAGCCATGTAAATGGAATGGCAAACTAATAACATTGAATTGAGCAAATATAAGCCATGTAAATTGAATTGCAAAGTAATAACATTGAATTGAGCAAATATAAGCCATGCAATTTGAATGGCAAAGTAATAACATTGAATTGAGAAAATATAAGCCATGTAAATTGAATGGCAAAGTAATAACATTGAATTGAGCAAATATAAGCCATGTAAATTGAATGGCAAAGTAATAACATTGAATTGAGCAAATATAAGCCATGTAATTTGAATGGCAAAGTAATAACATTGAATTGAGCAAATATAAGCCATGTAAATTGAATGGCAAAGTAATAACATTGAATTGAGCAAATATAAGCCATGTAAATTGAATGGCAAAGTAATAACATTGAATTGAGCAAATATAAGCCATGTAATTTGAATGGCAAAGTAATAACATTGAATTGAGCAAATATAAGCCATGTAATTTGAATGGCAAAGTAATAACATTGAATTGAGCAAATATAAGCCATGTAATTTGAATGGCAAAGTAATAACATTGAATTGAGCAAATATAAGCCATGTAATTTGAATGGCAAAGTAATAACATTGAATTGAGCAAATATAAGCCATGTAATTTGAATGGCAAAGTAATAACATTGAATTGAGCAAATATAAGCCATGTAATTTGAATGGCAAAGTAATAACATTGAATTGAGCAAATATAAGCCATGTAATTTGAATGGCAAAGTAATAACATTGAATTGAGCAAATATAAGCCATGTAATTTGAATGGCAAAGTAATAACATTGAATTGAGCAAATATAAGCCATGTAATTTGAATGGCAAAGTAATAACATTGAATTGAGCAAATATAAGCCATGTAATTTGAATGGCAAAGTAATAACATTGAATTGAGCAAATATAAGCCATGTAATTTGAATGGCAAAGTAATAACATTGAATTGAGCAAATATAAGCCATGTAATTTGAATGGCAAAGTAATAACATTGAATTGAGCAAATATAAGCCATGTAATTTGAATGGCAAAGTAATAACATTGAATTGAGCAAATATAAGCCATGTAATTTGAATGGCAAAGTAATAACATTGAATTGAGCAAATATAAGCCATGTAATTTGAATGGCAAAGTAATAACATTGAATTGAGCAAATATAAGCCATGTAATTTGAATGGCAAAGTAATAACATTGAATTGAGCAAATATAAGCCATGTAATTTGAATGGCAAAGTAATAACATTGAATTGAGCAAATATAAGCCATGTAATTTGAATGGCAAAGTAATAACATTGAATTGAGCAAATATAAGCCATGTAATTTGAATGGCAAAGTAATAACATTGAATTGAGCAAATATAAGCCATGTAATTTGAATGGCAAAGTAATAACATTGAATTGAGCAAATATAAGCCATGTAATTTGAATGGCAAAGTAATAACATTGAATTGAGCAAATATAAGCCATGTAAATTGAATGGCAAAGTAATAACATTGAATTGAGCAAATATAAGCCATGTAAATTGAATGGCAAAGTAATAACATTGAATTGAGCAAATATAAGCCATGCAATTTGAATGGCAAAGTAATAACATTGAATTGAGCAAATATAAGCCATGTAATTTGAATGGCAAAGTAATAACATTGAATTGAGCAAATATAAGCCATGTAATTTGAATGGCAAAGTAATAACATTGAATTGAGCAAATATTCATACTCGTAAACTTATGAACATATTTATATTTGACTGGAAATATCTGTAATTGAAACAGATTGGTTAGCATTTAAAATTTACTATTGTTAATTTACAAAGGTCATTTTACTTCTAGGATGGTGTAACGGACTATGTTTTCACATGAAAACAGAGAGGTAGCATGAGTGAACAGTGAATTGTGTTGACCATGTATTTTGAGACATAAAAAACATTAGAAAGGGTCACACAGAATTTTTATTGGCCAGGCATACACAAGGACATAAAGAAACACATAAACAAATGCATACCATGTCTGACAAAAAACCCAATACACAGTAAACACAGAGCACCCATACAACCCACAGACAAAATAGGTAGAAACTTTGAGAAGGTAGCTATAGATATCATTGGTCCTCTTAATCCACCATCAAATAAGGGACACAAATTTATTTTAACCATGATTGATATGGCATCTAGATGGCCAGAGGCAATTCCCCTC